CTGCTTAGAAAGTCGTCTAATACGAAGGAAAATACGGTACTTCTTTTTAAAATAAAGTCTTCCTCCTTTTTCTAGCTTCCTTGAATTTAATCATTAACCAAGTGGCTTCCCCTTGGAGTCATTTATACCTTTTGTACTCTGTAGAATAAATTCTACCTAAAATTCCATCATGATTTTAAATAAAGTTCAGCATCGTAGAGAGGTTTAAAACTTGCATTCACATTAAACCCTCATCATCAGGCAGTGCATTTCTATGTAAGTCTACCTGTTTTCCTAAACCATGACTTTCTAAGCCATTTCATTACCCACTCATTATCATTTGGGGAAATGCAATTTTAAAAAAGCTACCATAATTCTTTAAAGAGATATGGTTCAAAAGTGACTACGTAGTTCCCATCCCTAAAAGAAAAGGGATAAAACAAAGTAAATTGATGAACTGCTAATATCTAGTTGCCTAGGTAATGTGCCCAAAGTATCATGATGGGAGCTTTGTTCTTGTAGAAACCATCATTTGTTTTGAACTTACTGCAATTACAGTACCGTATTTTCTGGCGTATAAGACGACCCCCCATTTTCCCAGCCAAAATATAGTTTTAGCATCTCTATCCTCATTATCCTTATATCCGGCGTATAAGACGACCCCCCCCCACTTTAGCCACAGATTTTGCAGGTAAAAAAGTAGTCTTATACGCAGGAAAATAAGGTACTTAAAATTTTTATTTTAAAAAAACTACCCAAAAGCAGTTTATGAAAGTTAAAAGTAAACCAACACTAAAGAACCAATAAATAAAAGAATTCCAAATAATCTATAGAATATTGTAATAAAATCACATGGGGCATGTTTAGTCACCAGGAAAACTTCTGAGCAAATAAATTAATACTGCTGGAAACATTATCTGCAGGCATTACTGGTTACTCATGTTTGTTTTAGCCAGAATTTGTGCTCCTTTTTGTTCTCACTGTTTGGAGAATATGACTTCAATTTGAAATAAAGTTGGCAATGGAAAGTTCCCAGATTGGGAGCCTGTCTGATCTGATGGAGCTACTGGGCACAGCAATGCCACTAATAACTCTTCCCTGCTTTGCCACCTTCAGCAACCTTTCTTTTTGCAGAAGGCCATCAACTGACACCTGCTACAAGTGTCCATTCCCAGTAGTCCAGCCACACCGGATTCAGGGTGAGCCACACACATCATGCTTGTCTGGACCTCGGGGATCTTGTGTCATTTACCATCAAGGCTCAGCTGTTTCTATTTATGGCCAGGGGGCTGTTTTTTTTCCTCCCTCTCCAAGTAGCATTCAGTCTGCAGATGATATCAGAGAGTTCCTTTCTACAGTACCAGCCTATTCAAGACTGCTGAGAAAGAAAGAGATCATATATAAAGGAGGGAGCAGGAAAAGAAAAAAAAGTCAGGTACACAGGAAAGAAAGCAAGGCAAAGTGATCTGGGTTCAAATCTCTGCAGAAATTGAACTAAGAAGCTCATTCTGTGTGTGTTGTGTGCCTTCAAGTCCTTTCCGACTTACAGCTACCCAAAAACGACCCTATTCTGGGGTTTTCTTGGGAAGATTTCTTCAGAGGATTGCCATTGCCTTCCCCTGAGACTAAGAGCGTGTGACTTGCCCCAATGGGTTTCATGGCCAAGCAGGGAATCGAACCCTGGTCTCCAATACTGCGGGTGAACAAAGGTACAAAACACCCTGCAGAAAATTAGCAGTTTTGTGAGACATTTAACCTTCTAAGTTCTGGTGCCCCAATAAACTAGAATTCTCAACACTCCCTAGCATTGAGGCAGGACAGTTAAAGTGGTCTCAAACTAGATTATTTCTGCACTGTGTTTTGGACACAAACTGAACGTTAAAAAATAAGCTTTAAGGCAAACCTACATTGAACAATTAGTTTTATTCAGGAAAAAAACTGCAAACAGTAAAATCAATCCCAATTGTGAACATAACATTCAATTCAAAGGCATAGCCGTGTTAGGGCCTTTGCAGAGTGCTAGAAAGAGTGCAAATTGAGTCCACTTTAACTGTCCTGGCTCAGTGCTAGGGAATCATGGGAACTGTATTTTTTTCTGAGACATTGAGCCTTCTCTGTTAGAGAGCTCTGGTGCCACAATAAACTACAGTTCCCAGGATTCCCTAACACTGAGTCAGGGCAGTTAAAGTGGACTCAATTTGCACTATTTCTTGCAGTCTGCAAAGGCCCCCAGTCTGGAAAATCAGTATACAAAGGGATCTTGTCCCATCTGAGATTAACTGAAAGAAAGAAGCTGGTAGCATGAACTTTCACAGACTTGAGCCTGCTTCTGAGTGCATGAATCTAACTACAAAAGCTTATGCTAGCACTTATTTCTTTCAGTTAGTCTCAAAAGTGCTCCAAGACCCCTTTGCATAAAAATTCTAATGACTGCTTTGCTCCTGCTTCTCAGTCACGATTTTGTCAAAACATGGAACTTTGTTGCTAACTGGGTATCTGCCTGTGGATCGCTGAGTAAATGTCTCGTGACTCAAGGACATGTCATTCTTTGTCACACACCCTGAAATGTCATCTTGCACTCCCTGGAGCTGTAAGTATCCCAGGTTGGAGACTCCTGACGTGGTCCCCTCCCCATTTTATTCTCAGCGTAGCCTTGTGAGATGAGGTTGAGAGGCTGTAAATCCTGAAAGTCTTTTTCAAAAAACAGATGGGGGAAAAAACAGGAGGATTTAAGAAAGCAAAGGATGCAAAAGAAAGAAAGAAACCAAGATCAAAGCCAAAGAGAAAAAGAACAGATGATGATTTGGCAGCAAGGTAGATTCAAAAGCAGAGTGAGAGAATATGATTCTTAAGTGAAAGGAAAAAAACCCTACAGCTTGAGTCTCTCTTATCCAGAATTCCAAAATTGTGCACATGGGGCTGAGACAGTGACACCTTTGCTTTCTGAGGGTTCTGTGTACACAAACTAACTTTCATGCGCAAACTTATTTGAAATATTATTGTCCAAATGAGTGGCTGAGGGCCTTTACAGACTGCCAGAAATAATGCAGCTTGAAGCCACTT